ATTTCACGTAGATGAATGCAGAATAAATAAAAAAAAAAAAATTTGCCCTCGATGTTCTTCTGCCTGTAATATATGCACTATCTGAATGTGTTCATTCAGTCGTTTATTCCGATCTGTCTTCTCTTGAAATACCTGACTGTGTCCTTGATGAATATCCTAAGTGGTAGTATCATTCCTGACGTGTAAGACACAATATTTCAAGCCCTTCTTGCTTAGGGTTTGAAGCAACCAGGTGCTACCCCAACTCACCAGGAGTTGAAGGACCTATCACAGATAAGGTGTTGATGTTAGTTTCAGTTTTGCTGTAGAGAAGTGTGATTTGCTCAGACTTTTTTTATTTGTTACCCACATTTCCACATCTCCATGGCTACGCTCTGGTGGATGTTGTTTTTCTACAACGTGTCCTTGGCGGGACTTTCTGTTTACTTTCACTTGAAAATTGCTTGATTCTTCTTTTTCATGAACGCATCAGGGATGGATTTTCTTCTTTGGTTGGTCTGTTCTGAACTTGAGAGGGCACCCACAGACACCTTCCATCAGTTAAATCAACCTGCAAAATACGGTACCTCCTCATGTGACTAATAAGGATGCAACAACCGGCCTCTGTTTGTTAATTTGGAAACGTGTGTGTGTGAAGGGGAGGGAGGAGGCACAGCTTGATTTGTTTTCTCTGTGACTCAGCCAAACTATAAAATGCTTCTGTGCCCTGCCACAACGTTCAGCCTCAGCTCTTTGCATTTAAAACAGTTTTGTTAGTCGATGATGAAACGCAACATCATTTTTTTCACCCCGTGTGCGCTTGTCTGCTCCAGAGAAGCCAAAGAGCAAGCCACCTGGCTGTTACTCCTTTGCTGGTTGTTCATTCTTAGCAGTACTGTACACAACCACAAAAACACACCTCTTTGTGACTGTAACAGATGCATGGTGGTGTAGCTGGCTGACCCAGAGTCAGCACAGGAGGTGTCTGGTGGCTTCCATGAGCTACGTACGGATGGGCCTTGCGTTGAGCTTGGAAGGGATGACTCTGGCCCCTGGGTCGCTCTCATGCCACGTTGCTTTCACACATTTTGTACCTGACTAAAGAAATGTAACCAAGGGTGGGATTTTCAAAGTCTTCAGGGAGGAAGCGCTCAGGCCCCTTGAGGTTTTCCGTGCGCTTTGGTTGCCTGATGCCGTGAGGACCTTTCAAAATCCCAGCCTTCGGCTCTTCTGCTCTACTTGAAAAACCATGTTCTCAGTTTGATGGTTTCAAATGTCAAAAGCCCTTGCTCTGTTCTGATGGCGTGAATGTAAACCCCTGTGAGAATGTGTAAGAGCTTTGTGAGCGAGGACCTAGGTGTATCTACGGTGATGCCATGCCGTGGTCGTGCTCCAGGAGAAAATAACTTGTGCATCACCTTTGAGTATTTTTAGTAAAGGTACAACTAGTGGAAATGTTTACATACAGCCTACTGAAAAAAAAAAAAAGAAAAAGAGGAGACAAAAAGAAGATTAAAAAAAGTGTAAAGTATTTAAGTGGGAGATTCTCCTAGTTTTTTCTTGGTTTGCAGATCGCTAGCTATTTTTGGAGTTCAGTAAATGTGTATAACTTTTACAAAAGACCAGACGGAACTACCTGTTCACTCGCGACGTGCCCCGTGCTGAATCGTGCCTATTTCACTCTCTGCTGTTGTTAATGCTGCTGATTCTGCTGTTCTCAACTGTTCACTGGATCATTCCATTTGCATGCAACACAAATGCAAGCTGCGCTGTCTGAGAGTAAAGCTGAAACACGTTTGTATAACTTGAATCGATTAATGACTTTCTCTTTTCCACACCCTCTTCAAATGCTGTGTATAATTTCGATTTGTTTCTCCCGACCTTGATTTTTTTTTTTTCTGCTTTTGTTTGGGTTTTGTTTTGGTTTTTTTTTTTGAATGGTAATTTATTTTTGTTTGGATTATAGGCAGTATCTGTACATTTTGTTTCAAGGTGATATTGTGGATGTCTTTAAAAAAAATAAATTGTTATTTTATATAATTTTATCATAAAGTTGCTCTAATAAATCATTCTTTTATCATGTGACACTGATTCTGGATTTTGTGTGTTAATCTGGGGGTGAGCATGTGTTTGGTGGACTCAGATTTTTTTCACTGAATTTCACTGAATTTCTAGAGTTGGAAGGGACCATAGAGATCATCTAGTCCAACTCCCCTGCTGAAGCAGGATTGCCTAGAGCTAGAGCATGTACTTACCACCAATGCAAACAGGCAGCATCAGCTGCCTGTTTGCATTGGTGGTAAGTACAGTGTAATGAAAGAACTGTCTGCAACTGGCTCCATCCTGGTGGCACCTGGGGCTGGGGCAGATCCCTCTCCAATGGTACAGGAGTCCCCTTTCCCCTGTCCCTGTAGTTACAGGATTGAAGTCCCCAAGTCCCCATCACCTGAGGGTGGTCTTTCTTCTGAGTATGGTATGGTGATACATGATTTAATTTTTTATTAATTATTTTACTGCTTTATTTCACTGCCATGATTAGCAGTAGTAGTTAAATCCAGCTTGAATATAGAATCATAGAATGGTTTGGGTTGGAAGGGACCTTAAAGATCACCTAGTCCAAACCTCCTGCCATGGGCAGGGACACCTCCCACCAGACCAGGTTGCTCAAAGCCCCATCCAGCCTGGCCTTGAACACCTCCAGGGATGGGGCAGCCACAGTTAACAGTAGTAGTTAAATCCAGATTGAATATAGGATCATAGAATGGTTTGGGTTGGAAGGGACCTTAAAGATCACCTAGTCCAAACCTCCTGCCCTGGGCAGGGACACCTCCCACCAGACCAGGTTGCTCAAAGCCCCTGGCCTTGGAACCCCTCCAGGGATGGGGCAGCCACAGCTTCCTCACAGGAAGATCACAGGAAGACCTTACAGGTCACACCACCATCACAGGAAAGAATTTCTTCCT